CTAGGAAACGGACCTGTATCTACAACCTATTCTAATAGCCGTTCACCATACTACTAATTATTTAATATACAATGCTACAAACTTTTACAGCCAAGCCTAAAAACGGGCCACAACACAACCTAACAACGGTCCACATACTACTCTACTCTAAGTTCAGTTCCTATTTCGCCCTAACAACGACCCACCGACTATTCTAACAACGGTCTCCAACCGGTCCCATTCTCACTACCCAACACGACGTTACACGTCGCCCGAAACATACTTAACGGTTCAAGGTAAAAAGCTCTACTATTATTAGTTAGGAAGGTGAGAGGTTGGGGGGATTGGGATGTGATTGGCTGTGAGGGTAGGATATAGGTAGGTGTTCGAGTGAGAGTTTGAATACAATCTCTCTTTTCTATATGCCATAGAAACCGTGGCTAGGGTGATCGTTGTCTGATCAAATATAGTTTTATACATGACAACTGCCTGATGACTATAAATAATTAAGCAACTGTAGTCCTTTTGACAATGAGTATCAATTGTACAGCAATATGGAATCTACAATGTTTGCACTACATTAAGTAAATACACGCGAACGTCTACGCAATTGTAACCACTTGTAAAAGTCAATATATGTAACGGACAATACTAGCCAGTGAGATGGGTATCAATGAGTCTCGATGCTTGGTTCTGCGCAATAGCCTCAACCGATGGCGTCGTTCCTTTATCTCGCCCCGAGCACACATCTGCTTCCCTCTTAAAATTTCTTTGCTCTTTTATTTCCTGACGAATTGATTCTGTTCACCTTTTGTTATCTTTCGCGAAATGCTGGCTGTCGTTAGACAACTCTTCTCTCTATATACGGGAGGCACGTCTTACCTCCCGCCAGCGCACCTGTCTCCTGGCTAAGTCCCACACCGCCAAGAATTGTAACGATTCCATAGGCAATTTAGTTTCTGGTTTTCCTCATGGAATGCGGCCACTGAGAGGGTTGTGCAGCTTGCAGGTGATAAGGAGCGCATTAATATAAATAACCGTTATGAAAAGCGCAAACACGACTCTTTGTTAGTGAATTATTTTTATTACCGCCAGGAGCTAGCCGGTCTGCTCTGACCTTGTAAAAAGCCTAGCTTCTCTTATCTTCCCTTTGTCCGGCCAGCATGAACCGCATGTCCGAAACTACAAAGACGGGCTGTCGGGAAATTAGCTTAACGGTCGTCTTCGCGGGTTTTTTTGACGGTAGCTTCCTCCTCTGCGGGGATGCCTGACATGTACGCAGCGTCTCGCAACTACAGCTGCCAGCTACACTATCGGCCCCGCTAGGTATCGGGGCGGCAGAGGAGGCGATGTGCATATGTCACGGACGCGCCCCGCGCTGACTCGCGAGCCCGAGCTATCTTGTTGTGTCTTCCTCACTCGCGCCCTCTGCCGTGAACTGGTTCTCCGGTGCGGCGCATCGACGCTGCTACGCTCAGGGTACTCGCGTGATGCAGTTTCTTAGCAAACTGACAGCCCGAAGCAAGGTCACCGAAGTTTCCTTTCGTCTTTATTCTGTGCGCGAGCTTTTCCCGCCTTCTTCTGTCAATTATAGCCATGCGTATACGTATGTGTTCAGGTGAAGTCGGAGGCCATCAACGTTGATGGGATATTTGAGTTAGGTAGCACACACGTGTCGGTGCACTGCATGGTGATAGCCAACACAGCTACAAAAATACGAACACAACAGAAAGCGAACGATTGTCGTGGCGTATTCGGGAAATTGCCTTTCTTGGTAATGTTCTCGATGCAGTGATATCCTATCTTCCACACCTTGAATGTTTTTCAGATTTCAGTCAGATGTTTTTCCGTTTGATATATATATATATATACATAATATATATATATATATATATCGAGACGAAATCGGAAGTCAAGGCTGCGTTCTGGGGGCCATCACAAACAACAACAAGAGGGCAATCTAAAAAACATTCAAGGTGTGGAAGATATGATATCACTGCAACTAGAACGCCACTGAGAATGGCAATTTTCAAAATGCGCCACGACAATCGTTCGCTTTCCGTTGTGTTCGTATTTTGTAGCTGTGTTGGGTATCACCAGCGCTCCGACACGTGTGTGCTACTTAACTCAAATAGCCCATCATCGCTGATGGCCTCCGACTATATATATATATATATATATCTATATGACTTTCAGAGCCCAGAGTTTGCCATCGTTTCTTCACCGTTCCCAGCCGTTATCACGCCGCAAACACAAATTTGCACTATTCATACTACTCCATGGAACCATGTGTAGTAATAACCCGCATTCGCAACGTCATACGGTACATGACATCAAAAACGCGATTTCATCCAATATATGGGCAATTCACTCGCTAGTATACTACTAATATACTAATTGCATACACGTACCAACAACATACATCCGCAGTTATATTGCAGTTATTTGTTTGAACACATTTATTTGTTTGTCATATACACGTTTTTGCCTTTTTCGTTTCGCCCACACTTTGTGTTTCAATTCAAAATTGATTGCGCGCGCGCCGCCACCGCTGGAGCAACAGGGAGTTTTACAGCCGACGATCTGGCATACTGCCGACAGCCGCTCCCTTCTTCCCATCCAAACAGTCAGCGCAGCGCAGGTAACAACACAAATTCTTGCGCGAGTGCCAACTGTTTTGTGCATGTCGTGACGACGCAGCCGAGCATTGCGATGTTGCAACGCAACAACTGCTGGCAGGAAGCGTCTAAACACGTGATGACCTTAGACATATCGATGGGCGGCGTATCACCGGGAGCGCCTTTGTCTATCTATCGTGATCCGGTCCAGAATTCTCTGGAACGAGGCGGGTGATAAAACCTGTTGGCACACACGCTAGGTATCTGTCGACAGAGCGAACTTATTTCTGCTCTTTTAATTCAGGAGGAAATGGAGCGGTAACCTGATCATAGTGACGGCGAAAACTTCGCCAAAAACGACAGCGATCAAGAGTAATAAATAATAACTAATGAATTTGTAATATAAACTTAAACTACAATGACGATGCAAAATAATAATATCAGCAGCAATGATGCCGACAGTTGTGCTTATCTTTGTATATGTGTACGATGTGTACCTAGGGCGTCATGTATCTAGTCACAACAGCAATCAATATAATATTTATATATATATATATATAATATCATAGGATAGCATGTAGGCTTCTTTCTTACTTCTGTCTGTGGACAGCGTAAAGACACTCGCACACATAAATACACACACACACGCGCGCGAACACGCACGCACGTACACACGCACACACGCGCGCACACACGCGCACACACACACACACACACACTAGACACACACACGCGAACGCACGCACGCACGCACGCACGCACGCACGCACGCACGCACACACACACATATGTATATAAATATATACATATACAATAATGGTTATAGCTAATTCAATGATATCCTCTCTGGTCACAATCTTGTATGGAAACATTCTAGTCAACGAAACCTTACGTTTACGGGGCATTTCCAAGAAAATTGTAATTTTATTTGCATTCGTCAGGATGTTTACGCCCGTCAACGTTTGAGTGCGGAAGTGCTCTGCGTGTTAACGGCTGTGTGTGTGTGTGCGTGTGTGCGTGCGTGCGTGCGTGCGTGCGTGTGCGTGTGTGTGTGTGTGTGTGTGTGTGTGTGTGTGTGTGTGTGTGTGTGTGTGTGTGTGTGTACGCGCATGCGTGCGTGCGTACCTCTGTGCGTGTGTGTTAAAAGAAAAAAATATATAAGGTAGAAAGTAGTGTATCCAAATGTTTCCGATGTATTTCACCTGCATAGTATACAGACTACAGAAAACCGGAGTACGTGTGCGTGCGTGTGCGCGCGTGTGTGTGGGGAGATGACGTAATGACGACTGAGGGTCGAATTAAATCGACTGAGGTGCGTTCGTGTGATAGAATGATAGAAGAGGTGTGGGTGTTGGAGGTGGTGAGGGGGACATTCTAAGCGGACGCTTTTACGGGCGGCTCACAGGCAGATAGACGCGCGCGAGGCGCAGATCAAGGAAGGCAGATTTTATGGGTCGTTTCACATCTGTGTGCCTCCTGCATATAGGCGACCTGTATCGTCTACTCTCACACGCACGTGCGCACGTGATTGCGAACAGGAAACGAGAACTTCCTCTCAATCGCCAAACTGCCGTGTCTTTTGCATTCCTTTAGAAATTTATTGTGGCGGACAAGGCTGACCATCATTGGAAGGAAGAGGGATTACAAAGCAGATGGAGGTGCGGCCAAATTTAACAGATGGGATATCTTCCTGTAAGACTAATCGGTGAAGTGTGTCTGATAGATAAATTCACCAGAATGCACAATAATACAAGAATACAATATTACTTCCGCCATAAATTGCCCATTTAAAACGATTATGACAGTAAGTGAATTTGTGATAACGAAGTCGAGTTCAATTTGATTATGGGAGCTAGGTTTATTACATAGAATATACATCTGTGCATCTTCTAATAGGTTGTCGAAAGCTACTTATAGCAGGTTATAAATTCTATCGGTCTACGTGCATCTATTCCAGTCGCATCTCACGCCGTTGTACATCCTTAGTGACGTTTAACGACTCTGAATACGGATTGTTTTTTTATGTCAAAATCCGCTCGTTTATGGTCTTTGAGCGCAACTCCTTTGTCCGGTAATGGCTTACAAGATTTCCTTTCCCATTCCTCGTCTCTGAGCCATTTTGGAATTTCGTCCGCTGCTAACCTATGGCCACTGACCTACTTTAGCAGACGACGGGGAGCATCGGTTGCGGTCGTGGGGGAATCGTGTTCAGCCCCAGGCAGCGTTAACCCCTCCCAGTCATCGCGACGCCGACAGAAGCCTGCCCTGCACATGCGCATGCGCACGATTGCACAAGTCGCGATTGCGGTTGCGTTTGAGGTTAACGAGGCGCAACAGGTTATAACACCTATCTCTCGCGCGCAATGCAGATGCTATTGCGATATATCGCGATGCAAACAAGCATCCGCCGCGCTTGGCAACTTTCCGTTTCACTGCACTGAGCTATTAATAGTTGATCGTCAGGTATGGTGTGGTCGAAGATGTTTCTTTACCTACAGTGTTAAACCTTTAATGTTACATATAAATATAATTAAATAAATAAACAAATAAATAAATATATATGTATATATATATGCGTGTATGTGTGCGTGTGTGTGTGCGTGCGTGCATCCGTGCGCGCGTCTGTGCGTGCGTCTGTGCGAGTGTGTGAGAGAGAGAGAGTGTGTGTGTATGCATGTATATATCATTGTGCATCAGCAAGCATCGATTGCTGTACATGCTCATTCTACTATGAACATCTATTGCCATGTAAGCATGAAAAGATTGAAAGCGCCCAGCCCCGCACGAAGGCCGTCTCTGAGTCGTTATCCTGATCGGCAGAGCGTGGTTTGCCTTCAGGTGAACGGGCACGCAGGTGTGTAGGTGATTCTAGGGTTGAGATGCAGTCGTTGATCTCTGTTGATCTACATTCATCGCCTATCGTCTTACCAAGGTTGTGTCAATTCACTGGTCAGTAAAGCTCACCCGGTTTAGAGGTCGCCCAGTTTTAAACACTGCGATGATGAGAGCTCGACTAGAGCGTATAATTTGCATTTTATTGGCGCGTCGAAAAAAGGAGATGATACTCCATTAGGAGTGTTCCCAACTTTAATGTCATTAATAGTCATAATAACATATATATATATATATATATATATATATATATGTCATGTCATATATTAGTTTGTCGGCTTTAATGTCATTTAGGTTAGGGTTAGGGTTAGGGTTAGGGTTAGGATTAACAATCATTAATGATATCAAAGTTGGGAACACTCCTAATGGAGCGTTAGCCGATCCCCTTGTTTGGCTATCCAGGCTGTGGGCAAACACGTATTACATATAGTTCTACTAAAAACGTTCCCGTCTGTGAATGCACAACTGCATGTTCTCTGGAACATATCATCCAGTAAATGCACTGTTAACTGTTTTCTGGAATCCACCGGATGGTGAACGTACCATGCACTGTTTGTTCTTTGGAGCACACTGACTAGTAAACGTACTAGTGTACGTTCTCTGGAAAGTAATGGGCTGGTAAGCGTACTAGTGAATGTTCTCTGTAACACACCCGCTGGTAAATGCACTACTTCCTGTTTTTGGAACACGCTGACTCCCTGCTAAATAGTCACTCATTAGAAACAAAAACATCCTACATTGCAAAGAGCACAACTTCATTCGAACTTGCTATTACATGAAACGTATGCTATTAATGCATATCTTAAATTACGTAGTCTGTACGCGTAATATATTGCATTTCTAAAAATAAGAATAGCAAAAGCTAGTCGGGGCACATTCCTTGCAAATCGCGTGTCGAGTATATTATGTACGCCGCAGCACTTTCCTTCGCTGAAGAATACGTAGCGACACCTGCTGATTGAGTGCTCACGAGGCGGTTCAAGATCAGACCTGCTCTGACTTCAGATTAACTGTTTATGTACTCGTGAGAGCTATGGACCGACACTTGCGTGCTATTGACTTTGCGGTACCATCTGTTGACTAATTAGCACTTAAATAATCCTAGAAGTACGGAAGACCTGTAAGCACCGAAATGCGCTATTGATTTAAATTTCCATATCAGCATTCCGAAAAATTACATGCAACTAGAAGCCCGTGCGTAACCATGCACACGCACACGCACACGCGCACGCACACGCACACGCGCACGCACACGCGTACGCACAAGAACACAGACGCAAACACAAAGACAAACACAAAGACAAACACACACACACACAATGACAAATACAAACGTAAACACAAACACAAACGCAAACACAACACAACACAAACACAAGCATATGCATGCGCATACGCGCCCGAAACGATGCAGCGAATTCTGATTCAACACTTCCGGAAATTACGTATCAATCGACTGGTCTCCACTCTACTTCAGGTTTCATGCAGAGCGACGATGAACCAGCTGTGTCGCGTGTGCGGAGAGGACGCCGCGGGGTTTCACTTTGGTGCTTTCACCTGCGAAGGATGCAAGGTACGCTCGATGATTGTCATGATATGCGCTCCTTTCGACGGAAGCTATATCGGAGGATTTCTGATCGAAAATCCTACCGGAGTGTTAGCTCTTAACATATGGTATTATCGAGTAGTATAATGTCATGAGCTTATAATTTACGAAGCTCACAGTAGCACCAGGAGCATGATAAACCACGGGAGAACGGAACGATAAAAACAGTAAGGTTTCAACAATCACCTACGAAGATTTTAGTAGAATATCTTAACTTTATTAAATCTTAATTTTTAAAATCTTAAATTAATTCTTAATCTTTCTTATCTTAATTTTTAAAATCTTAATATTTATTATAATATATATTTTATATGAAATTCATTTATAAATGTGTCACTCGATGTGCTCCAGCTAATACAAATGAAGAGTATTCCACAAAATTATTGCTCTCCTAGTTTACGCGTTGTGATATCTTTTCGCAGTCGTTCTTCGGAAGAACGTATAACAGTTTAGAGGCGCTGGCACCGTGCAAGACCAACAATCACTGCGTCATCTCAAAAGCCAACAGAACAGCCTGTAAGCGATGTCGCCTCAGAAAGTGTCTTGAAGTCGGCATGTCAAAGGCCGGTGAGTACACAGCAGCGTGCGTGCATGGTTTCTCGGGTTCCGGACAGAATCACCGTAAAAAAAATTCAAATGAAAATGACTAGCCATTATTATACTACGTCGCTTAAACTTCGCCACTGTGCATACACACAATGGCATCACAGTCGCAACGTGAAGCTTTATAAATCTATAGCCGAGCCTCGATTTCATTCAGTTTTACCAAGCCATAGAAGTTGCATTTACGCGATGTATGGAAGATGGTGGTTAAATCTCTAATCACAAATCAGAGAGACAGTCGGTACGATAAGCCCATTGTTTAGTCAAGCGGCGACACACACACATACACCCCCATCATGTCTCGTTCGCTTTACAGGCTCCCGGTTCGGCAGACGGTCGAACTGGTTCAAAGTCCATTGTCGCCTGCAAGACGAGAAAGAGCACGGCAGTGCCACGACGCGAGAGATCATCCACTACGTGTCAGCGAAGGACAGCAGCGACTGCAAGCTGGAGACGAAGAGCACCGACAGTGGCATTCACAGTCCCGAATGGGATAAGCATCTGGACAACAGATCTCCGCAACACTTCTACTCAGGATACCGAAAGGACGTGTCCCCGCAGTGCTCGCCTGGAGGGTACCATACTGGTCGCTTGACTGGCCTATCGGCAGCGATGTCGCCGGACACGGCTAAGAAGACGCCGCTGCCGCAGGTCAGTCCGCCGACAGCCATGTCTCAGCTCAGCATCGACGAACGCTTCACGCCACCGCTGAACTCCTTTACGACGACGTCGTCGCAAAGCGCCCTCTATATGTCGCCCATCTTCCAGGTACCCGGCGCCCCAATGTTGTATAAAGCCTCTCCGCCGCAGCCTTCGAAGGCGCGTGCAAGTGCGATGACCAACGTACCTTACCCGCTGCCGAAGGTGATGCCGGCGGCTATGTGTTACCGCTACTACGGCGCATACATGCAGGGAGAGACGAACAGACCATTCTTGCCCGTCATGCGGCAACAGGGCGCGTTGTCATGGAAGCGCGACGCTGCGCCGTGCATCAGTGGCGACACCTGTCGTGCGTGCGTCGACCGCGCGCGAAGAGAGAAGCTTCCTTATCCTCCGCCTAGCTGCATACACAAGCGAGATCGCTTCGTTGACGAACATTCTGCGGGCGACCAGCAGCCACTAGACCTATCAACGCGGCCATTACAGCCTGACCTTTCTACCCGGCCATCGCAGCCTCACCTCCCCTCCGTCGACGCTGCGGAGGGTAGCATGGTGACAGAGCAGTGCGAGCAGCCTCTTGACCTTTCCACTCGATCAACAAAGTCCGCGAAAGTTAGTGCCGACGAACAGACGTTGAGAACTGTGCGTTCGCGGGGTAAGGTGAGATGGGACACGCCGAAGTACCGTGCCATGAGCGAGTACTATCGCTCGCTATCCGCCGAACCCGAAGAACAGGAGTCGGAGAAGTATTCAAAGCAGGAATACTCGAGCGGGACCAAGGGAGTGCAGTACACGCCGACGGTCGGCGATACCGTGATTGGGTGTAGAGAGAATATTGTCCCCCAGGCGGCGTTACCGATAAGAAGTAGTCTTGTGTGAGAGAAGCTCTTAGCACGTCTATCTGCCGATAAAATCTGAGCTTGCTCTCCCCTCACTATTCCTTCGGAAAGCCAACGAGAAGTTACTGCTATGGCCGGATTATGTGCGTGTATACTTTTTATGCAGATGTAACTGCCTTGTGGCAAGGTCTACAGCTGTCGTCGGCTAGGTTTGGCTGTGTGTGCGTTATTCATTACGGTGATCGTCGGCTATCAATCATAAATTCCCTTTATTTATATCGCTAACGACTTAGACACATCTTCCAATCAAATCGGTGATTGATAATATACATACTGCCAGTACCCAGTCCCAACCCAAGCTTTTTCAGGGTTGACTGCGCACTATATCGACATTTAAATCAACATCATCGCAATATCTGGATCTGCAACGTCATCATTAATATCAACAGGTGTTATTATCATCAGTATCAACAACATTAGAATTAACATTGGTATCAGATATGGCATCAGTATCAGCATCACCGTCAGTATCACCACCAGCACCAGCACCAGCATCAGTATCAGCATCAGCATCAGCATCACCATCAACACGAACAACAGCATCAGCGTCAGCATAATCATCACAAGTAACATCAGTTTCAACATGAGCATCAGCATCAACATCAACAACAGCATCACTATCACCATCTCCACAATCACCAACAACACCTCTTCACACCATTTCAACACCACCATTCGCATAAATATCAACACCATCATCAGCACCACCATCACCATCGCCATTATAATCACCAGTAACATCAGTTTCAACATCAACATCAGCATCAGCACCAGCAGCAGCACCTGCATCAACAACAGCGCCAGCATCAACACCAGTGTCAGCATCAGCATCAACGTCAACAACTACCTCGTTATCAGCAACAGCATCAGCACGAGGGTCAGCATTAATATCCTCGTCAGAATCAGCATTAGCATCAGTGCCAGGGTTAGCACCACCAACTCCAGGATGAGGGTTTAGTATCATGGTCTACATCAGCATCTTCATCCGAATTAGTACCTCATATACATACTGATCATCACTGTACACAGATTTGTCTCCCTGGCTCCGTTATCATTTCGAGTCATACATTATTGTGCAATCTTTCATTGCGGATAGTCGACAGTCCAATATCGACTTAATTGCTCTCTAAGTGGCGCGAATCACCTCTGAGGTTAGCAGGGGGGTCTACGCGGAATATATAGGCGGAATACGGCCATATGTGTAGCATTCAGAGAAATGCTCTTCATTTTTAGTTAGGTATAAATTTAATATGTGCATATAGATGTACTAGTCACTCGATCGCCTACATCTTACGTTGAGTAAGCTATTGGTTTTCATGTTCTTGGAATTATAACTAGCATGCTATTACCTCACCGCAACGTTTTATTGATGCGTATAGTCTGCGTAGGATAGCAAGCAGGTATGCCTATAAAAATATCACTGACTACCCATCTATGATAAAGAATCTAGTTAATCGTATTGTTCGTTCTGCAGCTGCTGGGAAAAGTAATCAATAACCAGAAATATTACTTGGGCGTGACCGTAGATAACAACGCGTAATGTTGATAATGAACGCGTATTTCCTTGACGAAAAACACGTCAACTATGATAGAAAATCAAGCCTACGCTTTTTCGACTTTGTTACTAATGCTCCTCATTATGTAAACGCTAATTTGATTTCTAATCGAGTTATATTGTAAGCGAAATAATAATATAACAAACTAAGGGATTCGACTGATATTAAGAATTTCAGCTACGGTATCAACATTACATCCGGCAAGCATATCATTGTATGATCGCACCTAATACGCCCACCCAAATAATTCCAGTTTTGAGCTGCGCTAGCGTTATGTAACCATGTTAGGTAGCACTCTTTCTCGCACAAACTGGATTAGGTAGCTAATTTTTGATGGACCTACTACTGTACAGTACTAAAATTAACACGGCATTACGTAGATGTATTGTTGGAAATACTAGAATTAATAGTGAGGCCGAGAAGGATTGATGTAACGTGACAGCGTAATCATGATAGAGTAGATAGGTTAGCTTCATCGCGACTTCATTACGCTGTAAACAGGGCCGGCGGAAGCAAATAAACATTGGTCAGGCCATTTAGCATCAATAATGTCGACGAACAGCTGGCCGAAGGCCAGGTGCCCACGGCGCGGCCGTGGCGGGGGAGCTCTAGGTGGGGTTTCCCCCTCGTCAAAGGGGGGTTTGGGGGTCCTCCCCAAGAAATTTAAAAAATTAAAAACACCAAGATGCCTTTTTAGAGCTTAAAAATGCTTTTCAAAACTCTAACAAATATTTATTTATACTTCAGTATAGGCCTAATTATTTCGGCATCTGCCAATTTACATGTCAATTTTAATGCGTGTGCACGTACGCGTGCGGGCATGCGTGCATGCGTGTGCAGGTACACGTGTGTGCATGAGTGCGTTGGTGCGTACGTGCGTGTGTGTACAGGTACACGTGCGTGCGTGCATGCATGTGCACGTAGACGTGCGTGCGTGCGTGTGCACGTACACCTGCGTGCATGCATGCGTGCGTGCGTGCGTGCGTGTGTATGTAAACGTGCGTGCATGCGTGCGTGTGTGCGTGCGTGTGTGCGTATGCACGTATACGTGCGTGCGTGCGTACACGTGCGTGCATGTGTGCGTGTGCACGTACACGTGCGCGCGTGCGTGCGTGTGCAAGTACACGTGCGTGCGTGTGTACGTATACGTGCGTTCGTGCGTGCGTGTGTGAGTGCGTGCATGTGCACGTACACGTGCGTGCGTGCGTGCGTGCGTGTGTGTGCAGGTACACGTGTGTGCGTGCGTGTGCACGTACACGTGCGTGCGAGCGTGCGTATGCACATATACGTGCGTGCGTGCGTGTGCACGTACACCTGCGGGCATGCGTGCGTACGTGCGTGCGTGTGCAGGTACACGTGTGTGCATGCGCGCGTGCGTGCGTGCGTGCGTTTGGATGTACACGTGCGCGCGTGCGTACCTGCATATGCACGTACACATGCGTGCATGCGTGCGTGCGTGTGCACGTAGACGTGCGTGCATGCGTGCATGCGTGCGTGTGAACGTACATGTGTGTGCCTGCGTGCGTATCTGTGCAGGTACACGTGCGTGCGTGCATGCATGTGCACGTAGACGTGCGTGCGTGCGTGTGCACGTACACCTGCGTGCATGCATGCGTGCGTGCGTGCGTGCGTGCGTGCGTGCGTGCGTGTGCTTGTATCGAACAATATCACGCATCTGCTTGCTGCCAACCGTTAAACTGCGCATGGGCGCATATGACGTCAATGTTTATAAACATGAAAACAACGTCATGTAGTAGTATATATGCGTGTATACATAAACTATATGTGATTTCAGATCATTATATGCTCGGGATTGCAATAATTGTAGATCCGGCCTGTGCATAACGAAAATGTGTGCTTGAAAAAAATAATGATCGGAAAAATTATTGGTCCGGCCATGGCCGGACTGGCCGGACCGGCTCCGCCGGCCCTGTTTAAAAGCTGATGCTTCGTGAGACAGCTTTGTGATTTCAGTGTTATATATGTAATTTTTGACCTACTTGATCTAGAAAGGTCTCAGAATATGGATGTCATTGTGATATGCGGGTCACGATGGTGATGACATGTGATACAATAATACTTTCTTGTAGATTATAAAAACGCGTTTTCCTTTGAAAGATTAGAAATTTTTCGTTACGGGGCCCATTCCGTTACGATTGAAATTGCGCATTTGCGCTAATTGTTTGCGAAAAATATTGCACGGTTACTTGCACCTACGAATACACAATCATGGTTGTTCTGTCGTGCCATGCGTTAAAATGTGCAAACTAGCGTTTAACTTTAAACCTAAAGCATACTGGGTCTATGAAGTTGGGTAAGATCGAATTTGTTGACGTTAAATGGGGGAAATTTACGTTCTAGTAAATTGTTGTGTATAGTTATACTCATAGTTGTTACGGCTGTTGTTATGCGCGCATGCTTAACGTGACTCTCACGGCTATCGTGCTCGCAGTAATAGACGAGCGCTCCGCACCATGTCCGACCCGACCAGCCAGCCATTAGCAAATGGTTGTCTGCTGTTCCAATTACACATTGGTCGTCCTCAACTAGAGTGTAGAAGTCATTGCCATTATAGGCAGCAGCCTGTCTTCTTACTTGCGACCAAGTGTCTGTTTCATCGTTTCATATTTGGTGGTTACGTGCAAGACGAATAGGACGTGGGCGGAAAATAGGTTACAATATCTAGATCTTATCGGGTAGGTGAGCAACGATTTAAATGTTGCTTGTGATACACAATTAATGACGAGATCACGTAATACTGTTTTTCTCGAATCGAAACTTTCGAAGCCGTAGAGTTCTGTGATCAGTATGGATAGGCTGTCGGGACAAAACAGATTATGATCACATTGCACAGTCGAATTCGATGTGACAGTGGTTTTACATCGAGACGATGTGTGCAAATTCTTCACAGATAGATCGACGTTACAGGACGTGATAATGTAGCGGGAATCTGATCGTATGTCCGCAGGGGCGCAGCACCTACATCTGGTGTCATGTTTGTTATTCATGATCGGCGTTATTTTTTAAATCAAACATGTGACTGTTACGTAAATGTGTTACAACGCGGTGGTGAAATACGTGTGACATGTCGCCTTGAGAAGCGCGTGACAGACGCGTGTGAGAAGCGCAGTATTACGACAATCAATGACGCCAGTAAATAAAATGCTGCCACCAGAGGGCGAAGCAGCTTAGACGTGTTAAAATTGGTATTATTATACTCTCACGAGATAATGATGGAATGTAGAATAGGAGTGCTGTGTTGAAAATGGTGCTTGTTTTCATTGATTCGTTCCTTAGTTACACATAACAGACTCCATAGCAATCTGGTCTGTGGTTACGTATCATTAGTTTTCACTGGTATAATGTTGTTTCATGAGGTTATGAATAAAAATAGGTACGAGTACACGTTCCGTCGTCTAGCAATCTGTATATAACTTATAACAACAGTGCACGAGTCATCTTTACAACGAATTTCTGTAAGCTTATTATTGTCGGGCTGGCAATATGAATACATCAGCTAAATTAATGAGGAAATCTAATGATATCTAAAGTACAATACAACACGTAATTTAAACACGCGTACAGCTCATAAAAATAATATAGATTATCTTCCCCTCGCTCAATCGAGTTATGGCAGTTAAACCAAGCCTGCATTCTTCGCTCATACATGTTTAACGTATGCGAACAATCACCTAGGTGTCTATATTAGATGCAGTGTCCGTCGTTGTACAACGTGCGTCCGTCAAGTGCCGTCCGTCAAACAACGTGTTGTTTAATGTGTAGGTCTTTAAACACAACGTACGTTGGCGACTGCGTGTACAGCATTCCGCGTCTTTAATTTCTGTCAAATGTGATGATAGGACCCACTCACGCCGGAGTCGAGCCTTAACTCACTATCCTAATAAAAGGCGCACGTGATATTTTAAGATATACAAACGATGTTTTATTCAACTCAGCTATTTCATCAATACTGCATACAAAAAAGCCGTTTTGCATAGATGTCCATAAAAAGGTTTCGTTGCGTACAGAAGCATTACACAGTAACACCATCCCTCACAAGAACAATGTATACAAAACGTGTAGTAAGCAACGCAATACCGCATTCTAATAACGTAAAACGCACCATAACACCTCTATGAGGTAAAATGCACAATAAAAAAGAAAATACAAGGCTAATATAACCTGACGAAAACACACCACGGTTTTAGCACGAGTTACGTAGTAACGCCATGGTCGTTAGGTAATGCAGCGCATCGCTGGTTTTTTAAGATCAACAAAATCAGAAAGAAGCAGAAAATTCTCACATTACACAAAATTACGGCAGTTTTACATTATACAGAGTCGCAGCGAATTGGTAGTAGGAGACCACTGTCACTGAGGCAGCATCTACGAGTGGGCCTAAAATGTTTTCCAAAAATACGAAAGGAGAATTCACAGTGACGATGTTCGTTGAATAAAATTACAGGTGTATTATTTTTTGAACAAGGATAATTTATACAACAGCGATTCATCCGCATACATTTAAACCCACGTGGTTTCCATGTATATGTATTCTACCTAAAATGTATAAACGATTAAAAAAATGCACAAGATTGATTCACAAAAACGCGCAAATTTGCTTAACATGGGGATGCAATATTTTCAGGAGTGTATAATCTAGAGATCTCTATATGATACTCTCCTGATATTTTAGGCCTGTATTTTAAAACACCCCACCTAACGTATCCGTGGCTTGGCCTAGAATAGTAGCCTTGCTTACAGTTAGGACGTGTCTACAACCCATGACTAGCATCCCAACCAAAGGAAAGACCAATTCATGCAATGACACAGCATATTTTAGAGCCCATATACTAGTTAAACAACAATGTAACTAGCTAACACATTCATCATCCTATGCTGTTTTAGCTCAGCACATTACATATACATAATTTAAATTTTTACGCACAATCATTGTTTACTTAGAATTATCACCTGCTATGGGTAGAAATAATAAAATCTTTTATTTACAATTATTAAAGAAGCTCAAAAAAGTAAGCTATATGGAAACTATATTGATCAGCAACACACTTGCTGTGTCATGTTATGTGAACACGTGTTCACAAGCATCCCCGCACCACCACAACCAGTAAACTAAACAGCATACCACAACCATTATATTATGTCACAAGTACAAACAAAGCCACTACTATATCTGTCACGCCAACCATTAGGAAAGCATTTCACACTAACTAGGTATACAGCTCATTCTTAAATCAATATTAGTTGATGAATTTCCATCAAATCTATATGCACCATAAAACACACACGGTTAAGGTTTAGATCTGATAGTTGGTGCATGAAATTAGCCAAACTGCATCGTGTCATATATCATATATGATGCGCACGTCAGTGAAAGGCTAAAGATGAGGAAATGACGATGCATAGTGGAAATGTTATAATCTCATTACGTAAATAAAACTACCGAAATACGAAATATCTATACTACATTTTCTACAGCTGGCTATAGCCTACAAATATCTTATAATTCATTAGATTATTTTAACACGAATACTGAAAATAATAAATGCATACATATATTGCTAACGATATAATTTACAATATTGTTTCATGAATATATTTCTGCACACTCCATGTCATTGTGGACACTGCGTTGTCGTGATTTTTGTTGCACGTACATATCGAATCGTCATAGGGCAATAGGCCTCAATTTAAATATGTAAATATACAAGGGTTGTTACTATAAGACAATACGATTGATAGCACATTCTCATTCGAGCTAAATTTGTCAAACGAAGCTTTCAAAGGAAATACAGGGATGGCCTTTTTTATACAAAATCATGTAGTTGCACAATGCTTGGTGTGACCTGTGCCTTACTGATATTCTAGTATGCTAACCAAGTGCTGTTTCTTTTAGAGCAGAGACAATACTGTGTCTGATAGCTGCACACAGTGTTGCCACTGGGTGGGCATTTTATACAATAATTAGGGTCAGACACAACGAGAGACAGAGAGTATTAAAGTAAAGGAATGGTACAAAAACGAGAAGTAAAGGAAAACTCTTACACTGGTCATACGTTCACAACATCCACATTCGTCCCCTGCCTGGGGTTCACTATTACGAAAGCACCATTCCCTGTCAGGGACTCACACTCATTCATCCGCCGTTAGGGAGATCACTGTCACGACAGCAACGTCCCCCATCCGGGGCCTAACGCGTGCAGAGCAGCAGTGCATCTACTCTCGGGAGCTCACACTCGATCTAAGAGATCTTCCCCCTCCCTCCTTCCCTCCGCACAGCTCACTAGGTGGACACCTCAAAGTCCTCGAGATCCAGCTCCATCTTCTCCTCGTGCGAGGCGATCTTGAGCAGCGTCTTCTTGATGCGCAGCATGCTGTGCCGTGCCATCGGGTTCGCTGCCCAGCACTCCTTCATGAGACGCGCCACGCCCATCAGAGTCTGCAACAACAGCGACACAGTGTCATCACACATCTGTTCAATAGCAACAATCCACAAAGTATATCGATATTACATCATTTTCTGAATTACTTACTGTAACAGTATTAATTCACAACCTTAAACCTGCAACGACAGCGACAGTGTCATCACACATCTGTTCAACAGTACCAATCCACTGAGTACACTGACCAGGGGCGGATTCAGACCGTATTTGCCGTATTGGCAAATACGGTCTAGATTTCAAAGTGCCCTTCGAAATTTTGCGCTCACTGTGGGGTGGTGTGCCCTTTTTGGGCGATGTGCCATTTAAATCTGGAAAAATACTGTCTAGCCTCAGCCCTGGAACCGGCCCTGGGTGTCACCATAGTGTCACGTAGTCCAGTAGCAGTGCACACGGAGCCCACTAGGCCGCGGGCAAAATATATATATCACCTCAAAATGAAAATTGATAACACTTCACGCTCAACTTTAGTTGGCATTCAAGAAGCGTGCGTGGGGTACATCCTTCCGATAAGAAGTGGGTGCAGGGGCGGATTCATACCGTATTTGCCGTATTGGGAAATACGGTCTAGATTTCAAAGTGCCCTTCGAAATTTACAGAAAATACAAAAAATACAGAAAACAATTTGATGAAATTTGGCTATATTCTTTATTTGTCTTCTTTTTCTTCTGATTCATTGACAGGACTTGAAGGAAATCAAAATTTTACATGGTAACAAAACTAGCTTTTATATCTGAAAAAAAAAAGGGAATTAAGTGCTTGAATCATTCTGCATTAATTGCTGGTATGCAAAGCGCAGGCAAAATGAAGCAGAAATAAAATTCCATATGGTTTTTAGCTATTGCTGTTTGACTAAATGTGTGCTCAAATGGTGCTCATTTTTGTGCCCAGGGACCCTTGAAATTGTGAAATTTCCTGGGGGAGGCCCCTCAGACCCCCCGCCATGTGCTTTGCACCTAGCGGCGCTCACTGTGTGGTGGGGTGCCCTTTTTGGGGGATGTGCCCTTAAAATCTGGAAAAATACTGTCTAGCCTCAGCCCTGGATCCGCCCCTGCTGACATTGTGTCATTTTCTGAATTACTTAATGTAACACTATTAATTCACAACCTTAAGCCAATGCGGTCAAAACTTAAATACGCCTACCGCCGTCGTACGTCAAGCGTTGTGGCGTCCGTGTCTAACTTCTAGCTGTGCTGCCTCTCGCCAGAAACGGAGTGGAACGCGAGAAAGGTGAGGGAAACGGACGCCACAACGGTTGATGTATGACGACAGGAGGCGTATTTAGGTTTTGACCGCATTGGCTTAAGGTTGTAAATTAATAGTGTTACACTAAGTTAATTCAGAAAATGACACAATATCAGTATACTTAGTAGATTGGTACTATTGAACAGATGTGTGTTGATAAAACATTATTTCCTACAAAATAATATGAAAACCAATTTCAGTGGCAGGGTCAATTCTGTTTCCCCAACTTCAATTCATCAGCTAGATGGTGAATTGAAATCAAAATTCCAGCATCACACTTTACATAGACCCGGACACTGGATGCGGTCATACGGCATCACTCACCGAGTTCTCGCCCCACTGGTTCCTCATCTGTGGACGATGGCCCTCCTTGGCCACCACGTGCTTCATCTCATCGAAGCTGGGATCGTGGCCGACCCTGTCATAGTATGGGGGCCTGTACTCATCTGCCTTGATGTCTGAAAAACGTAGCGCCAACATCGTGATGAAAGGCAGCCAAACAATAACCTTTACATTAACAACACTGACGATGTAACTATACAGACCTGTACAAACAATCTTGCACTAACATAGCAACCTCGCTGCCCCCCGTACCTACGACAAGGCACTAACATAGCAACCTCGCTGCTCCCGTACCTACGACAAGGCACTAACATCGCTACCTCACTGCTCGCCATACCTAGGACATTGCTCTAACATAGCTACCTCACTGCTCGCCATACCTAGGACATTGCTCTAACATCGCTACCTCACGGCTCACCATACCTAGGACATTGCTCTAACATCGCTACCTCACTGCCCCCCATACCTAGGACATTGCTCTAACATCGCTACCTCACTGCTCGCCATACCTAGGACATTGCTCTAACATCGCTACCTCACTGCCCTCCATTCTAACATCGTTACCTCACTGCTCTAACATCGCTACCTCACGGCTCACCATACCTAGGACATTGCTCTAACATCGCTACCTCACTGCTCACCATACCTAGGACATTGCTCTAACATCGCTACCTCACTGCCCTCCATACCTAGGACATTGCTCTAACATCGTTACCTCACTGCTCTAACATCGCTACCTCACTGCTCGCCATACCTAGGACATTGCTCTAACATCGCTACCTCACTGCCCTCCATACCTAGGACATTGCTCTAACATAGCACCTCGCTGCCCTCACCATACCTAGGACATTGCTCTAAACATAGCAACCTCGCTGCTCACCATACCGTAGGACATTGTTCTACTAACATCGCTAACTCACTGCTCGCATAAT